GGGTAATGGTTAAGTAAATTAAACGACCTACAATCCTCCTGTAACTCTCTGGTTTCATCATCAGAGGACCATCTGCCAGAGCTAGTTTATGATTTTGTTCCAAGGGAAGTCCAGTTGGCTTAGATCCTAGCAATCCAGTTTCTGATATGATATCCAAAGCATACTTCCGCTGACAAAGAACAATACCTTTCTGGCTTCTGGCGACCTCCACTCCTAAAAAATACTTAAAACCTCCCAAGTCTTTCATGTGGAAGCATTGGCTCAGATACTTCTTGAATCTCCGTATGGCATTGCCATTATTTCCAGAGGTGACAAGATCATCCACATACACCAAGATGTTCAACTGTTCCTGCTTCCGTTGAAGTGTAAACAAGGAGTAATCAGATTGTGACTGGATAAAGCCATACTGTTTTAAGGCTGTCGTTAGTTTAGCAAACCAGCAACGAGGGGCCTGCTTCAAACCATAAAGCGACTTGTGCAGCTTGCACACCTTCCCAGGTAGTCTTGAAGCAAATTCAGGGGGCATCTTCGTATACACTTCTTCTTGCAGATCTCCGTGAAGGAACGCGTTCTGCACATCCATCTGATGCAGTTCCCGGTTTTTAGTCGCAACTACTGCAAGGAATGTGCGGACTGTAACCATCTTTGCCACAGGTGCAAATGTTTCATTGTAGTCTATCCCTTCAACCTGTTTGTTTCCGAATATCACCAAACGCGCCTTGTGCCGCTCTATTGTGCCATATGAGTGGTACTTTAAGAGCCTTTTTCCCTGGCGGTAAGTCCACCACTGTCCAGGTTCTGTTGTTTTCTAAGGCTTCAATAGCTCTGGGGCTCATGATTAGCTGTGACAGTTGCTAAGAAAGAGCGATGTTGCAAAGAGAATTTATCACAATTCACATAATGTGTTATAGGATAGGGAGTACCTGAGGAGTGAAATTGGCGAGATGAACTAGCAGAAGGGCTCAGACTGTGGTCAAAACACCATGTGGTGTGTATGACGTAATCCTTGAGATGGGTGGAAGGATGCTTCACTCTATGGCCTCGTCCAAGTTGCTCATTCCCTGCATTCATTTCTACCATAGAACCCCCCTTACTTCATGCTCCCCTTCATTATTTTCATTCCTGTCGCCTTGATCTGTCTCTCTTATGATCTCACGAGTACCATTACCCCTTCCTCTCTCACTATCCTCTTCGCCATACTCTTCAGTCTCCTCCTGGTCATAAGCAAGATTACCATCATCGGGTTTGCATTCGACTTGTTTTTCTTCAATAGCATAAGGAAATTCAGTTTCTGAAAACATCACATCCCTAGAAACAAAGTATTCATTATTTTCTAAGTCATAAACTCTCCATCCCTTCTTGCCAAAGGGGTATCCCAAAATGACACAACGTCTGGCTCTACTGGCAAACTTGTCTTTGGTCCGATTCAGGTTTCGTGCATAACACAAACATCCAAATGTGCGTATATGTTTGTAGCTTGGTTTCTCCCCATACAACATCTCATACGGTGATTTACCCAAAAGGAGAGTGGAGGGGGTCCTGTTGATCAGATAACCGGCTATCATAACACATTCTCCCCAAATCTCAATAGGGAGATTGGCCTGAAAACTAAGAGCTCTGGCAACATTTAGTATATGTCTATACTTTCTCTCGACACGTCCATTCTGCTGCGGTGTTTCAACACATGAGGTCTGATGTATTATACCTTGTTCAGAAAAATATTCCTTCAAGCAAGTAAATTCAGTACCATTGTCGCTTCTAACTATCTTTACCAATTTTTCATATTGGCATTTTACCATAGTGAAGAAGTTCCGCAGTGTTTTTCCTACTTCACTTTTGTCATTAAGTAAGAATACCCAAACGGCTCTTGAGAAGTCATCAACCACGGTCAAAAAATACGGGGCACCACAAGACGCCCGTACCGAGTACGGACCCATAAATCACAACGAATCAAATCGAAAGTCCCTTTAGCATTGTTTTCACTAGAATCAAACGCACCTCTTGTCTGTTTGGCTTTTGAACAAACACCACATATCCTATTTCTACTGTCACATCTAATGTTCAAATCAGGAAGAAGTTTAATTACTTTCTCAGAGGGATGACCCATTCTCTTATGCCATAACTCGTATGAAGCTTCAACCTTTGCTTTGTGAACTTTGCTTGAGTGTGCACATTTGAAACAGTAGAGCCCTCCACGTAGTTCACCCGCACCAATCACCATCTTCGAAGTGCGGTCCTGTATAACACAAAATTTATTAGTGAATTGGATATTACAATTTGACTCTTCTAATAATTGCGACACAGATATCAAGTTACAATTTAAACGAGGAACATAAAGCACATCTGTAAGCTTCATGTGCTCATTCAAAATGGCGATCCCTTTCTTTATTGCCATGACATGCTTTCCATCGGGCAATCCAACCTAACAACCGGTCACAGTCTCAGTATTACACAAGAGGTTCAGGTTTCCTGTCATATGGTGCAAAGCTCCTGTATCAATTATCCAATTCATACCTGTCAAGTTCTCGGTTGTGCTGGGTTTGCAAGAATTCAACAGATTAAGGAAAGTGGACCACTGGTCATTAGTCAATCCATCGAACGCAGTGCGATCTCCCTCTATCGCGTGGGTCGGTTCAGAAGTTTGCCCTACCGCTTGTGCAGCATTCGCTCTCTGTCCGCCTCCACGTCCACAACCAGATTTACCTTGTGTTCCCCGGCATCGAGCTTTCCCACTCCCAGTAGATCTCGGCCGGTCTCCCCACCAATCCGGGTAGCCGATAAGTTGGAAGCAACTCTCGGCCTCATGTCCTATTCGTCCGCAGTTGGTGCACACTCCAGATTTCTCTTTTGTATCGTGTCCCGTTCTTTTTGTGCCACCTTGTGCTTGCACAGCAAAGCTCATCGCCTCTTTTCTTTCTTCTTTGCTGCGGGTCATGGTTCTCAGCCGCTCCTCTTGTATCACCATGGCATAGGCTTTGTTCAAATTTGGCAGCGGATCGATGCCCTGAATATTAGAACGCACTGTTCCATATACTGAGTCATCCAAGCCCATTAGAAACTGATGAACTCTTTCTTCTTCTCGTCTCTTCTCCAGTTTTGCAGCGATGTTGCAGTTGCAGCCTGCACAGACGCATGCCGGAATTTGCTCATAATTAGCAAGTTCTTCCCATATTTGCTTCAGTTTGCCATAATATGCCACGATTGGGAGACCGGCCTATTTGCTGGTCGCAAGATCTACCTTGAGTTGCTGAATTCTTGGCCCATTGCCCACTGAAAACCGTTCTTTGATGTCGTCCCACAAGTCCTTCACAGCCTCCATGTATGTGACTGTAGAGCGTAAGGCTTGGTTTTATCGTGTTGAGGATCCATGAAACCAGCATCGAGTTTACAGTCCACCAGTCTTCCAACTCTGGTGAATCATCCGCGGGCTGAGATATAGTTCCATTGAGAAATCCGATTTTCTTCTTGGCTCGGAGTGATTCGTATTGCTCGAGCCCATTCCTCGTAGTTATCTCCTTTCAATTGGACTTGGGTAATTATATTACCCAGGTTGTCGTTGGCCGCCAGGTAGTATGGCGAGACTACCTTTCTGCTTCCGCCCTCACCTTCATTCTGCTTCTCTCTTCCATCCACCATGATCGATCGGCCAAAGCAAGATGTTTCCTTCTTGATTTTAGCGAAGAACAACTACAGGCTTTGACTAACTGTTGAGAAGAGAACCCTGCAGAATCCTCAGAGATCCGCTTCACGAGCAATGATCGAAAAAAACAAATATCGCAACCTCCAGTTTTGACGATCGAAAGAAGGTAGAGTTCTGCAAACTCTTTAGCGATCTGCTCCACGAATAGAGGTTAAAGAAGATCGAACGAGCAAGTTCAGAAGGCGGTGCGAAAGTCGAACGAACCGCACTCTGATACCATGAGAAACTGAGAAACTCGAGTTTGAAGGGAAAGATTTTCTTTCTCTGTGTGTTCTTTCAACTGAACATTACAAGATATATATAGAGGTAGAGTTAGCTCCCTCTTGCGATTAGGATACAAACTCCTACATGAACAATGAAATCCAAAACAAAGAACAACTAAGATACATACACCAGATAGGACTCATACAGCAAGAAGGATAAAGCTACGCTAAGAAAGCGCGGGCTCAATAGTTTCCAGAATGTGGTCATATTGGCCATGTAGAGAGCGTTCAAGAGTGGTGGTGGGTGGTGGGGTTGGCGAGAGTGTTGATGGGTCAGGTTTGTCTGAGGGCAGGAGACGTTGCAGCTTGAGTTGTTTCTCATTGAAGACTTCCCACCACTTGCCAAGGCGCTTGGTGGTGCGACTGAGGACTTTGGAGGCGATTTTCTTCCACTTGTTGCCATACTTGGCTTGGAGAGAAATGACGAGGTTATGTTCTTCTAGGGTCAAGGAGCCTTTCTTGATACCAGGTTTGAGACAGTTCTTCGGGTTGCCAATGTTGCTGCTCTTTCATCTCCTAACCAACATATCTCTTGCTGTTGCAGCTTCTTCTCTTCTGAAGAAGATGAAGATAACAGTTCACCATCTAAACTTACATTTTTTTCTTTCTTTTTTCATTTCCTTTTATCTGATGTAGAATTGGAAGTATGGGCTTTAAACTTTGGAGTTAAATCAAGAAGGTCGAGACATGAGAGAGAAAGAGAGAAGTGATGAGATAGTGGCCAGGGCAACAAAGTGAGATGGGACAGAGGAGGCGTCAAAAGGGATGGGAAAGCCGGAAAGACGGGACGAGAGATGAATGATCAGGTATTGTATTTTCAAATAGGTCAGATGAATGAGGTCTAAGGGTAAAAATGTATTTCTACACAATTTCCGTCTTGGTCATTAACGGAAGGGAGGTATTTGTTGATTTTTTTAAAAAATAGAGGGGAGGTTTTTGCTAAAGTGAAATTATAAGGGAGGTTTTTATGATTGTCCGAAACTTCAAGTGAGGTTTTTGTATTTTACCCATATATTAATCACACTAAAATTAAGGTTAAAATAGTTACAAATAATATATACATACTTAATATATGTATATTTTAATGGTATATAAAAAATATATTACAATTAATATAGCAGGATGGATATATATCATACAATTTTATTGACAATGCTTCAATCAAAATTCTAAGACATATATTATATGGATTATTACAAATTAATTAACATTCTCATTTAAAAGGTAAAAGTTACAAACATTGGACAGTTGAAGAGAGATTTAAAAGTGATTTTATTTATTAGAGAGACTGATAATAGATTTTATTAGGAGGTCCATGTGACAATTGAGATAAAGAAGACTCTGACCTCCCTCTTTTCTCTATATAATATAGATATATAGATTAATATGAAAATTGCAAATTAGGAAAATGAATGTATAGGAGGTCCAGTAGAGGTATCAACTGTCAAACAGCTTGGGTCCATGCATACACAGACCCAGGCCTGGACCTTAGCCATTTTACCAAAGACAGATTGCCCAAGGAAAATTCTTAGAGTAGATTCTAGAATATCAAGAAAAGTCGGAGAAATGTTCAAAGACTATTTCTGGGTGCTTCTGGTGTTATATTGGTGCTTAGCGTTTACTAGGCTTTATATGGACAGTTTTGATTTTCGGGACCATCTGGAGTCCTTGGAGTTAATTAACGATCCCATTTTCTTGAGCTTGCAGACATAGAAAGTTTAATTTAGGAGGCATTCTGGAATTGTTTTTCTTGTTGTGAATTAAAAAAGATAAATCAAAACCACCTAATTTGAAAATAAATTACTTCTTAAAACAAAAATGCAGAAAACATGTTCCTGTTTGTATATTCTTGCATTTCTGGTTTAAAGAGCATTTATTAATCTGGTCATTTAATATCGTATTCCACAGATCTGATCATATAGTATCTATACTATGAAGTTTGTTTTTGTTTTAAAAAACTGGAGAATCCAATTAAATGACCAGATGCTAAGAATGGAAATAAAAAATTAAATACCACAGCCATTCAGGCTCCACCAGAACTCACATGTTCTAGTTGCAGATGGAAATAAAAAATACAGGCCCCCCAGCAATGGAAATCAAGAAGTAGTTCATATGATGTGTTATGAATTTATTTCCATCGCTGGCCTCTTTGTGTTTGATTGGGAGATAAGAATGGAATGATAATGCTGCCAGGGTCCATCATAAGTTATATAGGTATGAAGTGTTCGACGTTATTCCTCTACATTTCTGAATTCTGAAACAGTAAGGAAACAAACCCAAGCAACATTTAAACAAACTCCGCCCCATGGTATTTTATTTAGAAAGATCATAAAGAGCTTAGATTGACAGGGCAATCGATCTATCAAGCCCAAATGGCATCAATTAATCAATCACGCTTTAGTTCCGCTTCAAAATAACAAGCAGGTCAATTGCCCATCCGTCAGAGTTGATGAAGATGGAAGACATGGCAGATTTCTCTGCGAACCGGTGGAACAGCTCATCTATGATCTCGGTTCCGAAGTGTTCTCTGATGGGTCCCTCCAAAGTAGCTCTCATGTGCGACAAACAAAGTTTGGCATTATATGCAGCGTCATGAGTCATTGGACGATTCAGTGCCTCCATTCCCTCAACGCTGAAACACCCATTTCTTTCTATCAAAGCCTCCAACTCCTTGGGCGATGTGGCGTAGAGGGGCAAATTGAAGGAGTCCACTTTGTCTTCACTCATTAATCCCTGAAACAAAATGAAACCTTCACATAAATGAAGAGAGAGAGAGAGAGAATTGTGGCAAAATGGGTTGATCTTCCCTTACCATCTTGGCCATATCCAGGAAGCAAGATCCCAAGAGGTCCATCACTGCACCAAAAGTGGATTGAGACACAGGGGTTTCATTAGGGAGGGCTGGGATTATAATGGTCATCAAGCCTCCAGAGACCATCTCTTGGGCCCTAGCATCAAGAAAGGACTGAATGTCCTTGGAGAACTGAGCAGAATAAGCCTCTAAGACTTCATTAGGGGCACTTGCGTAATGCACTCTTCCTTGATTCCATGCAGGAGAGCTTTTGTCCACCACTTGTGGTGGTACTCTGGAGATCCAATGGAGTGCATACGAGGAGTGTACAAAATGAACGGAAGCCTTGGGAAATAGCCGGCCGTGAAAGGAACCAGGCACACCCACTACATAGTATGGCATTTCGGGAGAAAGGGATTCGAAGAGTTTGTTGAAATCATTGGAGGAGTGGTCATTGAAGAGAACTTGAAATTCGGGAACGTCAGAACTGAATGTTCCTTGAGACTTGTACTTGAGCACTACAGCTTCTATTATGTTCTGCACTGCGATGAAGGTGTTGGGTCCAAACGAGCAGCCCAAGTCTGCGATTGTGAAGGTCTTCAAAGAAGAAGGGAGATGTTTGATGTCAAGCTTCTCGGCGATTGCTGCCTGAATCTTCGCCTTTGTGCTGTCAACTCCCTCTTTCTGCAAATTAAAGCAGTAGAAGATAATATTATTTCATTTGGAGAAGACAAGCTAAATGCGATACTAGACACGAAACAGGTCTGACGACCCATATACCAGCACAATAAGCAGCTCCGTTGAAGCTTTTTCCCTTTGGGCTGTGAGGATTACCTGGTAGGTCGAATTGTGGGCATAGCTGTAAGGCCCGTTTCCACCGTTCATGGGAAATGCTTCACTGGTCTGCTTTGCCATGTGTGTGTGTGGGTGAGAAAGGTTCCTTTTTAAGAAGAGGAACTCGAGAAAAATTGTAACTATATGTACAACGACTCAAGGACAAGGCCGATGAGGGAATCGGTCTATGTGCCACCAATTTAGACCCAATATATATATATATATATATATATATAATATTTTCAGCAGGTTTATTATAATTGGGTCCATTGGATCAGGCCCAATTGTCCCGAAAACCGATTAATTCTATTGTGGTCTAAAATTATGATTTGATTGAGCCCGGATCTCCTACCTAAGAGAATCCTGCTTACAGTTATTGCATTCACACATAGAGAATATCTTATCCTCTGCATAGTATTATGTATGGGGAGATGTTCCCAATTCACGGGGGTGGTGTATTATGGATAGGCATGGATAGAATTCTCGTGAACAGGAGAGACGGAAACGATTTGATATTCTACCCTGTCCTAGCTAAACCTGACCCGTTGACAACTCTATACATTGGGGCTTCCCAAGCCTTGTCGGATTTGTTCACTCAATTTGTTTGCTCACTTCAAGGGTTGCATTTGATACATTTGTCAATTTCTATCTAAAACGGTTTTGAATTGATCAATACAAATTGATGAAAAATATGTATTGACATCACCTATGATATTCATTTCAATTAGAAATTATAAATATAATTGACCAAAACCCAAAGAGTTTGATAAGTAGAAACAGCAATATTACCAAACACAACCGTCATGAGTTCCTAGCTAACTTAACTAACACCGTTCATTTCTTTCGCTCATGTGAGGACCACTAAGCATTATCAGGGTTATTCCTTGGGTGACGATCGATTAGGCTCTACGTGGATTGGGCATGGGCTGGATCAAGATTCAAGAATTCGAAGGTAGACCTGGTAAGAAAGCTATATAAAATAAACACTAGATCCAACTTCCAAGCAAAAATGGCTGACACTGACTGATCTATTGTAATAAAGAAGAAAATGGCAGATGTTATAAATTAAAGCTAAGATTTTATATGGAAACTATTTGCAGATATAAGGATGCATTTGCTGGCTTTGCATAGTTGGAGTAGTAGGTACTGATGTTTTGTTTGTTTCTATTGCATAATTATATTGTTGCAGGAGACGTGAAGTTTTTACCTAATTTAATACTCAATATGTTTGCATGCATGTATCCGATCGATTCTAGGTAACATAAACATGAACAGTTCACGAAGAAAGTAGCATTCTGAGTTTTTATTTCTCTGAGCAGGAACCACCCAGTTTTTATCACCTCTTGACACATATATCAGAGATGGGTCGTCTAGTAATGATTGAATTAGCTGAGCAGGTCTAGTTACTTGTCAGTTTAACTAATGACTAAACAATAGCTAATGCTTATTTTGAAGTACTACTTCACCCCTTAATGTTCACCTCACTATATAACTACATTGTCTAAGAAATTCAGTTCAGATAATTACTCTAGGGTGGAGAAGTGGCCATATATATATATATGAGAGAGAGAGAACCATTTTTTAAAACCAAAACCAAAAGAAAACCATATAAAAGAGCATGAATCATTTGGTTCTTAAGAGAGGTTAAGGCTAGGTCTTGAGGGAAAGAAGAGTTTGGCAGTCTGCTGATCTTTCTATTTTCAATATTTTTATGATTCTAAACAATGGGGGTTTACTTGTAAGTATGTTAGAAAGTTTAGGAAAGATAATTATAATTAGCAAACTTCAAGAGAGGTTTCAGCAAAAACTACAGGTAGGGGTGTCAATTGGACTAGATCTGGCCCAATCCGATCCAGTCCAATGTGAGTCCATTATAAATAGATCAGGTTCAATCCAATCCAATAAATGTTTTGGACTGATCCAATTCAATGTCTAGACTGTCTAATCTGTTCAAATTTATTTTGATTTATATTGGTTTCAACCCAAACCCAGTCGATTGACACATATATTCTTATCTTATATCAATGGATCAGATATTAGCTTAATCAAACCCAATTCAATATAAATTTGTTACGAACGGACCAGGTTCAATCCAATCTAATAAATACTTTGGACACTGAATTGATCCAATTCAATATGTCTTGTTGGTCCATCTAATCCATCCAAATTGATTTTGGACTGGATGGGATCCAATCCAAAACCAGTCCATTGACACCCTTAGCTACAGGAGAGGGCAGAGCTAAGAACATTCGGGTCTTGCAACCACTTGAAATGCAAAACCTACAGATGCTCAGAAAAACCTACCTAAAAAACTTTCCATTCACACCAACAATCATCCTAAAACCTGATACAATTCTAATTTCCCACTCTGAAACCAAAACCTTTCAATATGGTAGCCATGATCCTCCATGAGGAAAAAAATTGGCTGTCATGGCCTGTGACAGTGCACACGACACTCTTTGCGTGACACAAGGTTTTTAAAATTGGACCGGACAGGGAGCCGTTCTGGGTCTGATTATTGGATTGAATGGTCAATTGTTCGGTTTGAATGGATGGCCCATTTTAATAAAAAAATTAAAAAAATTAACTAAAAACCATTTTCCAGGTTGATGGTTCAATGATTTGACCGCTCAAGTCAATAATTTACTGATCAAATCAACGGTTTTTAGCTAATTGGGGTGAAACAAAAATCGATTTCCCATTTTTCTGATCTAACCATCCGGTCCGGTTTTGACAACACTGGCATGACACGTTTCCTTGCAACTGAAAGCATGATTCCATAGAGTAACGTGTCACATAAAAAGAGCCGCCGTCAAACAAAGACACCCATATAGTTTTCTCCATTCATGATGTCCTTCTACAAGGACAAATGATACACTATAATGAATGAATTACCTATGTACAACTCAAGTGTTGAATAGCTTTATTCCTAATTCCCAACACCCTACCAAAGTGCCGAACTTGCTAAAATGTGTACGGAGTAGGGCTGTTCATAACAAGACCGAAATCGATCAAACTAACCAATTCGGTTCAATCTAACTTGAGTTGGCCGGTTTTTCTTCATCATCAGTCGGTTTCGGGTTACAAAAAACATAAACCGATGGTTCAGTTCGGTTTCAGTTTTCATGTGTGAAAACTGAAATCAAACCGGCCTGAACCAACTTACATATTATATATATATATATTTATATATTTCAGCTTTATTTCAGAAATACACATATTATATATAAAATTTCTGATATATAAAATATCAGTTTTAATCCATCAAATCATTTTTAATTTCTAGGCATCCAACTTTTGCTTTCTTAGACTTGAATCCTTTACCATTCACACCGAGAGAATCATTCACAAAACCGATTCAAACCGACCATGTCGGTTTTACTTAGTACTGGGTCGGTTTTGGTTTCATTTCTAGGTAAATCGACCAAGTTGGGTCAGTTGGAAAAACGCCAGTAACCTGACCCAACCCGACCCGTGAACAGCCCTAATACGGAGTCCCTCCGGTAATAACTTAAGTTTATATTTGTTTGCAATGCAATTTCCTTTGCACTACTACAAATGCATGGGAGTGTCTTTAAATTTCCACAACTTTGCTTTACTTCACATTTTATTTTTATTTTTTGTGATCAATGAAAGGTATTTTTATTAAATGGAGATGGAAATAGTACATGTTACCTCCCCTTAAGGATGGTCTCAAACTCAAACACTTCTCAAACTCAAAAACAAAGAATCTCTTGAAGCCCCTTGTTTAGTTAAAGAATCTGCCATGCAATTGGTCGATATGCTAAGCCACTAAAACTAATTGACATAGTTCTTGTAAGCCATTTAACTTTTTTTGATGGTATCCCTGTAGCCCCAAAAAACAGTATTCAGGTACGACAATAATCCTACTACCACCTAAGAGCCTCCCTCAACTAGGGGTGGTCACGGACAGAGTTTCTCATGAGCTTTTCGAGCTTGGCTCGTCTCGGTTTAAACCAAGCTTCAAGCCGAGCTCGAGCTCAATGAAGCTCAGCTTGTGAGACTCGCGAGCCTAGTACAATAAATAAATATTTTTTTATTACATACATACATATACATATAAATATATATAATAAATAATTTTTATTTTATATATAATATTTTATTTTTTTATGTATAATAGTAAATAATTTTTATAATTTTTATTTTTTTGTATGTAAAATAAAAACATTTTTTATATGTATAATAATAAATAATTTTTATAATTCTTAATTTTTTGTATGTAAAATAATTTTTTGTTTAAAAAAAATGGCTTGTAATCGAGCTCGAGTCGAACCAAGCTCGAACTTGCGAGCTTTGAACTGAGCCGAGCTTGAGCTCAAGTTTCTAGCTCGAACCTAATACAATTTTAGTGAGCCGAGCTCGAATAGCCAAGTAATCGGCTCGGCTCGGCTCGGCTCGAATCCACCCCTACCCTCAACTATCAAATTATTCACTCCAAGTTGGTTGGTAATTTATAATCCTTGTATTGCAGCTAGTAACTTGGTCCTTATTGAGTCTCCAAATCCCACTAGACCTAAAAATAAGGATAGGATGTTGTCCTTATTCCGCAAGATCCCTTTTATGCCCAAAGGCCTTGGATTATTTTGATTTCTCCTATCGTAGTTCAACTTCACAACTCCCTCCAGAGGGGTAATTACCACCTTGCTTGTATTCTTTTTTTTCGTATTTTGAGAGGGGGAAAGTTTGTAAATGGAATTTTGGTTTCCATTGACTGAGATATCTATATTCTTTTTTTCAGATTTATGTGGGTTCATGAAAAAATTATTTTCCCTAAGTATCACTCATCTAGGTAAGTGATACCCATCTTCAAAGGTAGGTTAATAACTTTTCTACCTGGGGGAAGTTGTTAACACTTGGATGAGACAAAATTACCTCTTTTAGTAATGGCTTTTATGGCTAAAATGGTCATTTTGTTATTTACCTAGGAAATAAAAACATGGGTAAATGCCCTTACCCAGATAAGTATTTCCTAGGAAATACTTACTTGGGTGAGCAACTTCCCGAAAAGCAAATAGGGCCTAAGGCAAAAACATATGATGTTAGAATCGTCGTAGATCTGTTAGATAATGA